GGCAGGGGGATGCACCTGGAAGGAAGCCGCAGCCTGTGGAGAGCCCACATTGGAGCAGGCTCCTGGCAGGACCTGTGTCCCATGGAGAGGAGCCCACACAGGAGCAGGTTTTCTGGCAGGACCTGTGGCCCATGGGCGACCCACGCTGGAGCAGTCCGTTCCGGAAGAACTGCAGCATGCAGGAAGGACCCACACTGGAGCAGTTTGTGAAGGACTGTATCCCATGAGAAGGACCCCACACTGGAGCAAGGGAAGAATGTGAGAAAGAAGGAGCAGCAGAAACAAAGTGTTAAGGACTGCACCCTCCATTCTTCACCCTCCACTGCACCACATGGGAGGAGGAGGTAGAAGAGTCAGGAGTGAAGTTGAGCCTGGGAAGAAGGGAGTGGGTTGGGGGGGAGGTCTCACTATCCTGCTCTGTTATTAATCAGCAATACATTAAATTAATCTTCCGCAAGTGTGTTTTCCCCTGGTGGTGATTAGTGGGTGATCTCCCTGTCCTTGTCTTGAGTCACAAACTTATCTTATTTTCTCCCCCATCTTGCTGAGGAGAGGAAGTGAGAGAGCAGCTGGGTGGGTACCTGATAGCCAGCCAAGGTCGACCCACCACACGGGGTGACATTATAGGTGTGAGATGATGAGGTCTCAGATTTTGACACTTTTTTTTTTTCCTTCTTCTCCTGCAGTAGACTTTCCAGACTTCAGAGCCTCTGCACTCTTGCTGAGGGCAATTTAAACTCCAGTTGGGAATGCATTATGGTTTCAGTTAATGCAATAAAGCATCAGCAGTCACAGAGGACTTTGTAGTGAAGCTTAGTTATGGTTGGTAATAAGCTCTAACTCACTGGAAATCATACAGATTGGAGGGCAGATAGGTGATAAAAATGTACAACCTCCTACTTGTATGCTTACCTTCCTTTCTTTACTTTTCAATCTTTGTATATTGTGCAAATATGACTTAAGAATATAACTACACTTTTATTGGTTTATCAGTTAATGATATTTCAGATCTGAATACAGTTTACCAGCCCTTGCTGTAGATAAGACTGCAATTAATTCCATTCCATCCATCTAGTAATGATGTAGTCGATTCTTGGTGCTGTTTGCTGCTTATGGTGGAGCCTAACATTAGCTAAAGTGATGCAGCAAGGGCAGTCAGTGACCCTGAAGACCTGCTGGCTGCTCACTAACAGTCTGAACGTGTGACTTGTGGCACTCTGCTCCACAGCTGGAGTTTGGTGAACTAATAGCTAATACATTAAGTCACTCCAAAAGATTTATTTCCTCACAAATGAAACAAATTTAAATGCCATCTCAGCCATGGTAGAAGCTGTTGCTGACCAGAACATTGACCTTTAATTTATTTTGTTTGCAAGGAATTCACTCATTATGAATGGATTTATGCATTTGTTGTTTCTTTGATTAGCTGAAATTTTGTGTACATGCAGAAATAAAATGTTAGGGTTCTAGGGAAAGTTACAGAAAAATGCCTGATGCCTTGTGCCCAGGGGAATTTGAACATCTAAATTCTATCTATGCCGTATTTGACATTTCTAGATCCTTGTATAAAGGCTCTAAACTTTCTGCACCCAAGTTCTGCCCTTGAAAAAAATGGGTTACAGAGTCAAGCTATTTTTTTTGTCATTGACTTCAATATTTAAAATGTAAGAAAACAAAATGTTACTTGCTGTGTTTTCAGAGACAAGGGTTAGCCTGTAAAATCAGCTTCCCTGCATTACTCATAAAATCTATTTCTAAACAAGGAAGAATTTTCTCTTTAGCATTCTTGGGTGACTTTTCCTAGTTTGTTCCAATGTGTGCAATGGTTTTCTTTCTGCTTTTATTTTACACAGGGAGATCAGGGTATTCCAGGGGACAAAGGTCCACAAGGCGAACGAGGGAGACCTGGCCCATCAGGAGAAAAGGGGGATGTGGGTCCTGTTGGGCCACCAGGAGACAGAGGCTATCCAGGATCACCAGGTCATCAAGGTCCCCCAGGTTCTCCAGGACCCCCAGGGTTTCCGGTAAGTAAATACAAGTTTTCCTTGGTTGCTTGTGAATTCAGACGATGTGAAGGTTACATGGAAATTCAACCGAGCAATACCACAGTATCAGAAAAACTAAGATATCTCTGAGATAATTTCAGTGTTAAGAGGTGGAAAAAATAAACTCAGGTGATCAAGTAGTTATTTTTTAATTTAATTTTTTTTAAACATGTGCTATGGATAAACTTTAAATATGTATTTCTTTAGCTCCTGACAGATCAACATGGCTACTCAATACTGTTAATTTGCAAGTTCTTCATAAGCTTAAGAGCTAAAGTGTAAGTCTTTGCAACTGAGAAAGAAGAGGAGGCAGACAAAAATGATTCTCAATAAAAGGGAAATCAGCATTTAAAAAGACAATGAAATGCTGCCTGTCGGTTGTAGATATCTTGACTTGTCTCCACGTGCACACAGGCATGCATCCATCTTCTGGGTTCTTTTTACCCTCAGTCAGATAGGGTAAAGCTCTAAAAACATTTTCCAGTGAAGTTATTGGTCCTTATGATGTAGTTTTAGATAGTCAGCTGTGCATCAAAGCAGTTAGTCCCTAGAGGGAGTGAGAAGTTGGCAAATGCTATGCAAAAGGCAAGTAAAGCATAGCGGTGACATCCCTACTGTGTCCTTACGGGATGTAATTTCCATACACATAGCGTGCTGATCATCTTGATGGTTGGGAGTGCGTCTTCTGCTTCATGGTATTAGCGGTCTTTATATTTGCAATAAACTGCAATTTGGTATTCACAATAAAGTGGCCTTTGCACTTTGTTAAGTAAATAACACAAATATATTAAAATATGTAATACTGGTGAAAGCTTTACATTTTTAATGTTAATTTCAGCATTTTTTTAATTTTGTATCATTATAAAGTGCCTTTTGTATGTTTCTTCTGATACCTATCACCTTTTCTTTTCCTCATCAGGCTGATACCGTTTCACTTGAAGAAATAAAAATATATATCAAACAAGAGGTTCTTAAGGTTTTTGAGGGTAAGAAAATGAAGTATTATACAACTAAATGTTAATCTTAAATTCTGTTCTAAATGTTTTACATCTCTACAGCCTTTATATACATTTCTTTACATGTCATCTGACTTACATTGTACTTAGCAGCTGCTTTGTTGCTGTAGCTATGTTTAACTGTTGTTTAAGTCTACTTAATATAATTATGTTCAATTATCAGTTATAGTATCTGTTAACCAGAGTATTTCCTTATGTAAAAGATTAGCATTAAAACGTAGTTTACTCCAAATAATAATAGCAAACATATGTAGGTATCCATTGTAGATACATATATGTATTGTATATTATTGCAGATATATATGTATCTACAACATATCATTAAGACATTGAAGACTTACTAAAGTGGAGACAATGGAAATATCTAATTATTTTGGCCTCTTAGTGGGTGACCATCTAAATGAGAAAAAGGCTTGACACCTTTCAGTCACGCAGGTCTAAACCGCTGTGCGTTTTCAGCAACCATCCCGGCTGAGCTCCAGAGCTCCCTTGCAGACCACCAACTTCTGGCACAGTTTTAGGCAAACACCAGATTCAGCCAAGGCCCATGTACTATGTAAGATTTCTTAGGTGTGTCCTTACTCTGAAAAGGAAACATTTTTCTTCCCCAGCATTTTCTTAGTCAGGGTTGAAAAGCTGTGACTCAGGTAGGTGTCTGAAACAAGCTTCTGCTCCAACAGCTCTTATCAGTAGCTTCTCTTCCATTGCAAAACACATTTCTTATGTCTGCAATATGCTTAATTGTTTTGCCATTAATATTTGTGGATACAAACCCTTTTATCTTTTAGGGATAAAAGAAATCATATAAAGATTGAGACTTTTTAAATTGTTCAGGCAGTTTTTCACTTCGTAACAAGGCTATCGTTTTGTGTATTTCCACCCTTCCCCAAACTGCTGCCCCTTAGGAGTTCAAACTACTATTTCAAGAGCAGTTTGTTGGCTGACGTTTCCTCCTTTTCCCATTCAAATGGAATGGTAACTAGTATTTAGCCTATTCATAAAAAAGAAAGTATTAAAAGGTGTCCAGCCTACAGGGAATATTGGTTTTTGTCTTTATAGGTGTTCCATTTTTCTGCATCTCACTAGTGTTCCCACAGATCTTCTATTTTTTGGCTTTGTTTCACTTTGCCTATTTTCTGTCACCTTGCTTATTTTTTGTTTGGTGCCCGCTCTTCTCTTTACTCTCATTTTTTTCTTAAATATTAAAACTCCACCACAGTAAATATCTGCTAAATTGTGGAATGCTTAATTAAGTTTTTTAATTGAGTATAAATGAGACAGATTCAAGGTTAGTACCTATTTTTTCTACAGCTAAGGAACTCTGAAATGTTACCAAGTGCTCTTTATTCCACCAGCATGAACAGTTCATGCTGAAGTCTCTGCAATTAATAATGTTTTCTGAGCAATTTCACAATTGTTTCCAGGGTTTCAGCACATTCGAAGAACTGTGTGCGATATTTAAGCTCTACTTTGCAACTTAAGATGAGCTACAAACATCTGAGTTAGCCCTTCATAGGGGTGTTAAGTGCTAATTATTTTGTGTTCATGTATTTTAAGTACTTGCATGAACAGGAGTCAGAAGTCATTTGAAATACTAGAATACATTAGTAAAAGAGGGTAGTAATACAAACTTCAGTACAAATCAAAGGGTAAAGACTCAGACATGACTCTGAGTTGGAACTGAAGGCATCGGTACTTATAGACACATTTAATACCTTGACATTTAGAAGGATTAAACATCTTCCAGAAACTTACTTTAGCTGGGCCTTTGGTATTAATTTATTTTCCCGTATTTTGCCAGCAGATTTCTTACCTGTTTTTTCTTGTGCCCTTTGTTAATGAAGAAAGGATGGCTCAGTTTGTATCCCAGCTGAAGCTGCCAGCTGCAATGCTTGCCTCCCAAGCTCATGGAAAACCAGGGCCCCCAGGAAAAGATGGGTTACCAGGGCCACCAGGAAAGGATGGTTTGCCAGGGCCACCAGGAGAACGTGGAATTCAAGGTAGGAATTCCAAAAAATGTTCCCATGAGTTGTATCTTGAAATCTTTATACACTTGCTAATGAATATTAAATAAGCCAGGGTTACCTATCTAGCTTCCTAATGATTAACTTTTAAAACTGTACTTATGGTTTTCCAGACTAGATCTAAATATTAACCCATAGTAAATGTGTGGATTTTACTGATTAAAAACTCCTAATCAGTGCATTTTATTCTAATAAGTGATAAAGTTAATTACTGACAGATATCTAAAGCTGACATATCTAGACTACTGTAGCAGTTATTTTTTTCTCCAAAATACTTTAACAAGGAACAAAAACTATGCCAGCACTCTAATGTAACTATATAGATCCTGTTCCATATTGAGAGACCATCTTATTTAAGAAACAAAATTTGATCTCCAAGTCTGAGTGCTCTCAGCTCTGATCCTGAGACAACACAAGGGAGGAAAAACTGAAGGCAAATACTACTCTTTAAGAAGCAGTTAAAACTGAAATATTACCACATGAATTCTTCTTACAGTGAAGTAATCTGTTTTCTCAAGTCAGTTTCAGAATGATCCGCTTTTCACTATACCCGAAACGGTAATTTGTACACTGCAGTGCATTTGGACAGTATAGGACTCTCGTTTCACTGAACTGTCTTTCACTGCAAAATTAGCTTCAAGGGACCCAGGCTCACTGAGCTGTGCTCTACTGTAGAGTCAGCCTCTCAGAGATTAAAAGGAAGAGGAGAACAGAACAGAAGGAAAAAAGAATTTATCGATGAATAATATTTTGTGGGTGGGTAATCTGTAATTTGCAGTTTATCTGTAGGTAGTTCTTTATTATCTTTTGTTAGTTTGGTCTGCTCTGGAGTCAGAGCAAGTCAGACTGGAATGAAGAACATGAAAGCAAAGCTGAAGATGTGTGGATCCTAAAGCTATCAGAAGAATAAAGACTTACTAACATTGATAAGCGCAAACCCCTGACAGAAGCTTGAAAAATGTGATGAGCTCAGAAAGAGAAGAACAAGAATAAAGGATCAAGGAAAACAATAAAAGGCTTAGAATCTTACAACACTGACTTCATCATTACCTAAATATTCAGATCACTGTATAAACAGTCAACTTCAATGTCAGTGCCAGATTGTTCAATGATGATGTATGTGGTGGATAGTCTCAGATGCTTCTGGGAAGTGGAACATTGTACTAGGCTTCATTTCCAGCTAGTGAGCATCAAGAGTAAAGAAGATAGCTATGCTTGAAAAAAAAAAAAATAAAGCTGCTTTTTCATGCCTTATGCTTAAGTAAAAGTAGTGCCCCATGTATGCAGGATTTCCATTTATTTTACTGATATGCTCAATATTCTTTTTTTATTAGTAAAAGGTAAGCTAAGTGAGGAGCATTTACTTCTCTGATACATCAAAAGATATATGAAATTATACTTCCAAGGAAAGAAAACCAAAAATTTGTCTTGCCTCCTTTTTACACTCTCAGTAAGAGAGAGTCCCATGAAAGAAGCACACTTACAAATACTCTTCACGCCTTTCCCAGCTGTGCTTGTGAGTGGTGGTGTTTTGTGCAAACAGTAAAAAGAAATTCAAATCTCTGAGCAGATTGAAAAATATCCTTCCATATTCCAGCTTGCTTTCAGCCATAAAAGACATAGCAGACAAGACTTCTTGGAGAAGCATGTTATATGCATGTATGGCTGAGATCACCAAGGTGGCATGCTGTGTGTACACATGCCCAAGTCCTAATGCGCATTTGGTACTGACTGACAGATCTTCCTTGTTATATTTCTCACGTGGGTGAAGCCCAGATTGCCCACTCCAGGGTTTTGCTGCGTGTGGTACTATACATCTGGGCTGGCCAAGTGAAACAATCACTTGTCCCATACAGCCAGTGAAAAGTAGATACTTTTGGAGAGCAATTAATAGGACCACTACGAACACCTCCAGAGCCTGTTTGTGATGCTGCACGCTGAGCAGAGAGCCTGCTCGAGCCAGCCCGCAGGAAGGGCAGGTGTCCAAGGAGGTGCTTAACTTCACTTGCGGCTTCGCAGGGGTCCATCCGTACGCCCAGAGTGTGGTGCCAGTTCCCCCAGGAACTGGTCTGGTATGACCTGGCTGGATTCCACCAGAGCCACCTCCTGCGCAGCAAACCAATAGGTAGGGGTTAGTCCCAGAAGCAGAAAACCTAGATACTAACTTTTGGAAGTGTACGCATGGTCTTCAAAAAAGCATATTTAAGGACTTGCTAGACTCTTGGGCATAGAGTCATTAATTTCTAATTAAGTTCAGAATTGTTACCTGCTGGCCTTCAGCAAGGTTGTTCATAGTGTACCTCAGGTACTTTCCAGTGGTTCAGGAACAAATAATTTTGATTTTATAGGATGGTCTCAATAAAAATATAGCATGCGAACAAAAAACCAACAAAGAATTGCATCTTAAATTATGAAACATGCAATTGGTATTAAACAGACTTTATATAATTGTGATTGGAAGATTTTTTATATATATATACATGCATTTTAAAAAAATAACCTATGGCATATGCATCAGCAAGCTGATACTGTGAGGCAGTGTTAGCAGTGAAATGTTTTGGTTCATCAGACCAAATGCACCTTGGGATAATTTTGCAATCCAGAGATCCTTTATGTTAATATGACTATTGCTTTATTCTCAATAGAGAAAAGAAGACTTCATCTTAGTTAAACTTCACTGTTTCTATCAAATTAAGGAAACAAGAGTTTTTTATAGGTCCTCATAACTCATGGTAGCCTTGAGGAATGAAACATCACAGCTCAGGAGAGAAAAATAACTTGTGATGAATAGTGGAAGTTCCTTAACTTTATTGCTAATCTCTGTTGTAAAATCTGTGTCTCTTATTACAATTATAATCATTTGTGTGGTGGGAGCACACAGAAACCTTGGCTGACATCAGGAACCCGTTGTAGTGGATGTGGCCCAGATACTGTCACTCATCTGAAATAGGTGCGCTGGTTTCAAGTGTTGCCTTCTGTAATCTGTTCTTGGCTGTGGAGGGTGAAGTTAACCTGGTTTGCTTTGATTTGAAACTCAGTTGCTGCCTCTCAGCTGAGGGGGCTGTAACACGCAGAAGGAATTCAAAGTACGCACTGGAGGGAGGTTAAGAGGGCTTGCTCGAGCTTTGCAGTCATTTGTTTTTAAGAACAGAATATTTGCACAGTAAAACACAGTGGATACTTTGGTCTCATTGTTCCTTGTCATTGTAATGTGTTTGCCTCATGTGTGTATTAAAGAACCTCAGACTTCTCTAGATATTGACCTGTTAGTTTCAGGTGCTGCATTATCCATGCAGGTGGAAGAGGGTCTCCATGATACAGGTGGAATTCCTTTTGGAGCTGTTTAAATGGGAGAACTTTTTACCTCCAAGTTCATGGACATGAACTTGTTTCATTTTCAAGTAGAGCTGAGGGTGTAGCGATACTTCTGACCACGATGTTTGTGGAGAGCCCCAAACCAAGAGCTGTATTTTAGCTATCGCCGCTCATCTCTACGCTTATCCGTTTGAACGCATACTTGCTACATACTGCTACCAAGTGTTTACCGTACGACGTCTCGGGTACGTTTACATACCACAGCTTTTGGGTTGCAGAAATCACAACGAAACTTCTGGAACCCAAGTGAAAAAGGCTTTGCTAAAGCAGGCGCCTTTTCAATTAAGCAGGTACCTCTTACTGGAATTCTAATTCTACCAGTAAAAACAGACAACATCTTATATGTGCCTTTACGTTAAGAACAATAAATCAAAATCTGATTTAAGTGTATGGTAATATTTTTCCTTTGACTGTGTATGAGTTTGTCAGTTTAAGCTCAGAGAGAAGGTGGTATTATCCTCTAGAAGTGCAATCATGGCCCTACTCCTGAGCCAAATATACCTCATTAAAAATCAAGTATTTTCCTGCCAGAATTACACGTTACATTTTTCGGATTGTTTACATATAGGCCTTTTTACTAATATGCTTACACTCTGTTAAATAAAGTTTTCTTTTTAGAAAAGATACCTGGAAATTTTTTGTATTAAACTTCAGTGTCCACAGAAATTACCTGCCACTGTGTGCAAACTACATCTTTGCATGTGTACTCAGATACAGCTAGTAATGGTTTACACTACCCTGGATCATATATTTGCACTGGCAGGCTGCTCTTTCTCCTATTACGGGTTTTTTTTTGCTTATTGTCTTGAATTCTAGTGATGTTTACAGAATCTTTCAGTCTATCTCAGTCCCTTGTCAACTATGATGTCTCAGATATCTACAGTTATGGTTATCATGGAGCATGTAAATGTGATATATCGTAAACGTGATTTCTGTCTTTTCCCCATAGCTAAAGAAATGCAAAACAAATGATTAGTGGCAGCGCTACTTTGTAAAAGTAGAATTAACTGGGTTTGTAGTGAGAAACGTACTGTAACTATCTATTGTAAATTAAGAAACATAGATATATAATAAATAGGAAATGTAATAGATCCTGTGGTTGTGTGATTGAGCTTCTCAAACAGTAACAACTACTATGTGCTACACGAGATTATCTGAGCCAACCAACTTGATGTATTCATAAGTACTACTGTGGTCATTAAAGAGCAAAATCAAGATTCCCAGCTGAACACAAACACCTGCACATTCCCTTTTCTGAGTCTTTATAGCTTGTGTGTGTATATGCCTTGTGCAATTCTGCTTAACACAACTCAGCGACCAGAATGCATGATTAATATTGAGTTTGTTTCTCTGTGAGCTTTTAAACAGTTGATTTCCTTTTGTTATGTTCTGCATGTCACTCCGCATGTGTTTTCTACTGGTTTTGCCTCACTGTAATTTCCTTGTTGCGGTGCTCAGTGAAGAATAAGATAATTGATGCTCTGTTTTGAAACTTGGAACGATTGCAACAGATAATAAGCTTTCTACCAAAGTGTATAATGAGCTTGTGTTTAATGGAAAGCTTGAATACTCTGTGTACCATTCCTACTGCATTGTGTCTGTTGTAACAACCCTGAATTGGTACCCACAGCAGTCACGGTTGTCCTGTAAAGTACCAGTGTTGCTATAGACCACGGTACACCGACAGGACAACCTTGGCCATCCATCTGCCAGTGCCTGTTAATCTTCATAAGACATGAGGTGGATTGATACCACAGTGCTGACTGGTTAGCCGTGACTCTTCTCTTTTAATTCAAATTGTTACAGCTCTTCAGAAAAGGAAGTTTATTGTATGACATATGCAACACTGAAAATACGCTGGTCCCTAAAGCAGCACAAATTTAATTCCAAATGTGACCAGAAGTTGGCAAATTAATCTTCAACGTATGTCACCACACATGCCAGCATCTGCGGTGCTGGGGAGAGAAAAGGGTTTCCTTATAATCCCTTTTAAAGTAAGGGGTTGTGGCAGGTGTCACACTTGTGCTTTTTAAAATGTCTTTGTCCCCTGTCCTACATAAATTACACGGTCCAAACAGAAAAGCTACATTTTTAGATGGATTTGTAACTTGCAATATTAAGCAAAACATTATACTGATACTCACGAGTCCTCTGCTTTACAACAGCCAGACTGTTTCTAACTGATAATTTTTTTTTTACAAAGAGTTTAAGGAAAAAGAAACAAGTTGGGGATGAGTTGCAGCCCCTGAGAAGATGGAAGCTATTAGATAAATACGAAGTTATGGCTTGTGAAGAAAACAGACACAAATATTCAAAGTATAATTAGTAATCGCACCTTGTTAACTACGTGCAGGCACTGGGGTCACAGTAGGCTTTGCGTGCTAGAAGCCATAATCTGCGCAAGCTCTAAAGATGCCTCATTCCACGTAAAGGCAGCTCTGTAATGTGGGGGTGGGGGGTGGGGGGTCTTCTCTCGCAGACGGGGGAATACCTGAGCATACAACTTCTTGTTTACAGTCTAAAAAAATGCAGATTTATTTAGAGTGGGGAGGGCGAAGTCTCACTCAGCTTGGGGGCTATCAGAGAAGGGCTGGTCAGACTCCAGGTGGCCTTTGAGTTGGTGCTTTGCATCACTTCATCAAACAGGTAACGCTGGAGCAGAACACACGTTTGCTTCTTTACTAGAGGAACTTCAGGAAGGTAACTTAAAATCTCGGGGAACATAGCGAGAGTCCTGTGGGGGAGGAGGCAACGGTTACTGCTGGAATTCCTCGTATTTTCCAGAAGCAACGTATAAACATAAGAGCTGTCTCAGACAAAGAAGTGAGCGTGTGTTTTCCCAATTACATTTGTCTTGATAATTTCCGGTCAACAAGATATATGGAAGATCACTGTTTGTTTTTGTATCTTTATTCTGTGTAGGTTATAGAGGACAGAAAGGGGAAAGAGGCGAGCCAGGAATTGGACTGCCTGGTAACCCTGGACCGCCCGGCCCTGCAGGTACAAGTCTCCAGATTATTTCTGCTATTGTTATTTATGAACTAACAGGCCTTTCTCCTGGTTCTCATGCTGGTTTATACACCCGTGCCTTTCCTCCCACGTTTGGTCGTAGCGTGAGGTCAGACCCACCTGCCTTCTCGCGGTTGAGCTGGCGTGCAGCTGTCAGCGACAAAATGCAGGGCACTGCACGTGCTCCGGGGAGGGCTCTGCTAATTCTAGCTTTGTTTTACCAGCTACCGGCCTGCCGGGCCCACCGGGAACGCCAGGCTCACCCGGACCGCAGGGGCCACCTGGACCCGATGGAAGATGCAGTCCGGCAGATTGCTATTACCACATGTCACAGACTCGGTCACGCACCAGCGGGAAATAAAATCCCTCTCCCGTAGACACTTGGGTTCACAGTCACTTTTCACTCCTCTCAATAAGTTAATTTAATTTTTGAAATACTTGGTGCATTTTTATTTTTTTTTCCCCTTGACACTGCATGGTATATAGATAATTTATAAGGCACAGAATTGAGCCTTTTTCTATGTTATTTGCAGTGTTGTAATTATGAAAGGATGACATTTATTTTCCAGAGTGCATTCCATGTGTTATGTTTCTCATATTTATTTTGCTTAGAGGAGAAAATAGGCCCAAATAATTTTCATAAGCTTCTTTCTTCAAACAAAAAATATTTTATTATAACTTAAGACAGTATGTATGCCTCAGTATGTAAGCTGGCTTTATTTTTCTTGCTGGTGCGGAAGCTTAAGTGGAGAAAATGCATTTCTGAAGTTTTAAAGCGTGCCCGTTCACGGCGAATGCAGGACCTGAGCTTGAGCGCTGGGAACCCTGTTTAGACTAAATATCGTTGTCCCTCAAGGAGGCTCCGGCACACCTGCTGAATCGGGTCTGTGTCGTGCACCACAAGTGCTACCCACCGTTTCAGTCACTTCCTAGATGTCGAAGAAGGAAGTGAAGATGTGTTTGTGATCTCTCTAACCCCATCCAACGGTTACCTTCAGACTGACTGGAAATTCGCCAGCTGTAGCCCTGAGAAGCGTCTCTCCTGACTGGATGTTGTCCCAACTGAGGGCTTGTACGTTCGTTTAGTCGTGGTTACGTACACTCCAGATACTGAACCTTTAGGGGCTGGTAGTGGTGCTCCTAGCTGAGAACTGGCACATCTTCTAACAGTTATGTGGACTTAGTAAGTGTAGTATCACTGCCTGTAACCAAGCTGCTCTGCCGTTATGTCAGCTTACGGCAAATATGACCTCTTGCTTTAGAGCAGAGGTGGTTGGTACACAGTGAGACAGTCAAAGTAGGAACTTCACAAGCCTCTAATCTTACTGGTGGCACAGTTTTCATCTTCCTCCTGGAATAATCGTGTCCCAAAATACACTTGAGAGGAATGTGGAAACAGTAGAATGCAAAACTCACAGGTCCTAATAACTGGTTGCAAAAAATTATTTGAGCTCCAGAGAAATTCAGAAAAAAGGCAAAACTCTCCTTGGAAAGGTGTACTGCAGAGAGCCCGGCTGCATGCAGTTTGCAGGCATGCAGTAAATCCTACAGGACCAGACGTCAGTGAAGAACAAAACAGGACAAAGTGTAAATCCTATAGAGCTCAAAGGGTTGAGCAAAAGAAAAGATGGAGAAAATTGATTACAGAGAGGCCAATTCTGAAAAGGAGGGAGGAGGGTTGGCCAAAGTTTCACTCCTGATTGTTAGGAAACATATAATCCTAGATTAGTCCTAGGGAATTTGCTACACTGCCATAGAAAGCAAAGGTGCTACTGAGAGAACAGAGCGAGCTGTAACCCACAACCTCAAAATAAACCTGTAGTACAAAAGCAGTAGCGAGGGCTCTTGCCCCGCCATAAGGAAGCCAGGCATTCTCTCCCACTTCAGGTAGGGAAGTCGCTTTGGTGACTTCGTGCTTGAGCAGTACTGAGCCGCCAGCGAAGCGTTTCCAAATTGGAAGTGCTGGGTTCCAGAGCAGCTGTTGTGAGACACAAATCTGGCCGACTTCTGGGTTTTGCTTAAAAGGAGTGACTGGTGGGAGTCTTTAAAAAAAGAAACACGTTGGCATTTGTTGTGAATAGAGTTCCCAGCACTTGCTCCCAGGCTGGAGGAGCAAGATGAGTGCACGAGGTGAAGTGATGGAGTTAACCCAGGTAGCTGGGGAGCACAGGCAAGCCTTTGAGCACACTTTCTGAGAGGGAAAGCATGCCCACTTGACACGTTAATCAGATGTTTGGAGGGAAAAATGTGCTTGGCACAAGAAGGATGTTTAAGTAAACAAGAAGGAAGGCTGAGAGTAAACACCTGGGACGGGAGAGGGCAGCAGGGAGGAGGATGGCAGAAAACCTGTGGCGTACCATGAAACCATCATCTCCTGAAGAGAATCTGCGACATGGGGACCCCTCGGGGGGTCAGGCTGCTTCGTCTGTCCCTCCTGAGGATGGGGACAGACAGGTCAAAGCCCACAGGTGAACCAGAGGCCTCACACTTCCTTTTTTGCTCATCCCTCGCTGTCCCTCGGGTGGCAATCACTGCCCCTTCTCTAGGCCAGCACGTCCTCCGCTCTGTGGGCCGTGGGTGCCTGTCCCACCAGGGTGAAGGCGCGTTTGGAACGAGTGGTCCTGCCTGTGCTTAGCTCAAAATGCCTTGCTCCCGTTCCTGTGCCCATGGGACACGTCTTGGTCTGCTCTGCGGCATCGGCCGCCATTCCAGATGTGGTCCTCAGAGCGCTGTAGCTGCATGAATGCTGGGAACTGTGAGGCAGCTGGAAACCGGGCGCTTGTTTGTCCTGGGGCACCTACTGCTGTCTGGGCCACAGGTCTGCAGCCCAGCGAGTAAAGCCAGGGGCCTTGCACCAACGTGTGTATCGGTGTAAATACACCAACGGAGAAACGGGCCCCACATACTGTTTTCCATTCAGTCAAATGAACTGCTGGTCAGGTATCTTGCATGAACATTTTTTCATCGATTTCTTTTTACTTCTCTAGTAATTCCAATATATGTAAAAAAATCTAAATATTTTTTTACTTCCTAAGTTAATTTTAAGCTTCATTTTCTGTGATAATATCGAAAAGGGTGCTGTCTTGTAAAGGATATCCGTGCGACCGCGAGGCTTCCAAGCAGCCCCCGTCCTGGAAGGCTGTACATAGACCATTGCGCCGCGTTAGTGGTATGTGTATATTTTGGGGCTTTTAGCTAGCTGAAACCGAGCATCTGTTGTTGGCCGGATGCAATTGCTGTATGTTCATTTACTTGAACTTATCGGAAAGCAGAACACTTTTTATATTTGAAGAAGTTTTATTTTTTCATCTATGTTTCCTACAGATGCCTTTTTCTTTTGATAGGCTCAAATCTAAAGGTCTTTTTAAAATGCATTTGAACACTTTCGCTTGATTTGCAGGTAACTTTGGTCATTATCTTGTTGCATTATTTTTTATTTTGCTAAAAGCCCACTTTCATTTTCTCACTTGAGAAAACGGGTATTTTTTTATATGGGCTATCTCAATGCCTTTTTTAAGATGCCACGGTCTTCACTGGGGTAGAGCAGAGTTAATCCGAGCTTAACTTTACTTCACACTGACTTACTCCTATTCTGCATTTTTAGAATTGAAAGCAGAATGTAGCTGGAAACGTGTTTCTGCATGGTTTTCAGGTTTGGCCCCTGAGATTTCTTTGCAGTTTCTGATGTTGTCTTAGTTTTTGGGAAGGGGGCCGGGGAGGGCAGAGGGGTGCTAATCTGTTTTGCAATTTGCTTTTATCAATTTCACATATGTTTTAAGCAGCCTGTGCTGCAGTAAGCATTGCGAGGAATTAAACACAGCAGATATTATTTTTTTTCCAGTAGCACAAGATATTTTTCTGATTTGGGAATGTTTACGTACAACAGGACTTTGAACTGAAATATGTTTGACAAAATGTTTTAAACCTTTCTTAAAAGCTCTCTAAGCTTTGTTCTAGTTCAGGGTCAAACTATTATATTTTATGGCAAGTTGCATTATCACCTACTTAAGAAAGTGTTGGGATTTTCTTTGGATAGCTATGTACATCAGTTTGCTTAAGGAAAATAATAAACTTGGTAAGAGGGGAACTTCGCTGAGGCTGCAACATCCATCCTTTTGTCCACATGGCGGAGTTGAGGACGTCTTTTTCAGGACGAAGGATAAAGCCCAGGCTGAGCCGCCTCAGCAGCGCAAGGAACGACCCAGCGCTGCGTAGACTCACAGCACAAGAGTCAGTGTTTCTGATTTTGTTCTTGAGCCTGATTTTTTTTTTTCTTTTTCCTAAAATACATTTATTTTTGTGTGGTAGTATTTGCAGAAATACTGCCTTTCTTGGATAATTATTTTTCAGGTAATAGTGCATAGATTTTATTTGTGTTTTGTATATATACACATTATAGAAGAACATGCGGTAACGGGACATCCCACTTTCAGGCATCATTTATGTCCACTGTAATGATGTTTGTCTCTAGGGGAGCAGGGAGTCCCCTACAGTTAAAAAAAAAATTACAACAACATATTTCACACCATCAAGTAACAGTGCAGCCTACTTTTAGTAATGTTTTAAAAACTTGTATTTTTGTCTTAAACTGGATTTGGTTTCAATGCTAAAAGAGCACTGTGATATGGAACCAGGATTGATTGTATTATCCATCCTCCCTTTATGTTTTATGATTGTGGATTATGACAGATGTTAGAGATGCACAGCTTTGTTAAATAAGCGTATTTTTTAAATGAATGGATAACGACACAAAACATTTTGGCGCTTCTTCTTTTTCACAAGGGTGAAATGCTTTTTTTTCATGTCAGTGTACACTCAATTTTTTTCTTCTTTTTCTGTAATGTTTACATAAAAGTCTTGTAAAAACCCCACGGGCTAAACTAGCATTTTATAAGCGCGTTTCTCCACACATACTACGTAAAGCCAGCCCCTAACCGTGCATTTTACCAATTCAGCAGAGCCACTGCTCTAACGTCACACGTTAGAACATGAGAAGTATCTCAGGAATCAAAACAATGTTGGCTTTGGGGTTTTTTTTAATCGTGTGTTTGTTAGATTCTGGATGTACTGAGTCATCTACATTTTCCTTGAAATCTGTTATGTCTGCTACAATGAGATTGTACTGGATGGATGTTTAAATCCATCTCCATACACGTAGGTGGGTGCAGGCCATGGGGAACAAGTTTAACCATGACCTTGCCTTGGTTGGTGTTTAAGTAGAAAACTCAAGCTTCACGATACCTTAAGGAAATGTGGTTTTTAATATTAACTGCTAACAAACTTACAGATTCTAGACCAAAAGAAGTTTGTAGCTAAAAACAATATGTAGTCTACATGTCTTTTAGCAGTTTGATCTCCAAGTCTGTGTTCTACAAATGCATTTAATTATAAGTTTTAATGTAATATCTGCTGTTTCCAGTCAATATGTTTGAAGGATTTTCAATGACATATGCTTTATTTTCTTTTATTTCTGAATGATATGCAGCTGTTACTGAATGAATCACAGTACCTGCCGACTGGTTGCTTCTTTCCTTCATTATATTTTTTGGTTTGCAACATTTAAGGGTCAGTTCAATGGAAATGTATTAAGTGGATAGAAAATTTTACATTATTACGTGGCTGTTTACATCTGAAATAGGATTCTGGATGGAAAGTGAAATGTTTCATATACTTTCTGTATGCAGTTCTGTCAGAAATGACAGCCTTTCCTTCTGTGTCAAATCACGAGAGGGAGGATGCGACAGGGAAGGAGAGAAAGGAGGCAC